CACTTCCGTTTATGCGGAACATAAATCGTAGACTCACTCTCTCGTCTTTTATGTTTTGCTTTATTTATACAATTTTTTTGTTGGTCTTTATTGTTGTTGTTCTGGTTGTTGTACTCTAGCTTGAACATCAGAATAAATCTTGATTCCGACAATCAAACAAAAATTGGAATACAGCTGCAGGAAAGAAGAAATGAAAGAAAGAGAACTGGAACAAATCGCATGGATATCAGAGCGACTGAGAGATGTCAATAACATCTAAGTGAGGATATAGTTAGGTTGGCTATGACTCCCAATACAGGAAGATAGAAATGGAGCTAGTGAAAGTTGTATTTGTTATAAACTGGGGTTCAATTCGTGGAATTGTGGAATGAAAAAAATATTAAGAAACTATTTTTCATTTCATATCTTCATAGAACGAGAATCTAGCCTCTGTATTATAAAGTTTCAAAATTGTGTGTCAAAATACTGTTTTCAATACTTACTTCCTTGCAAATCTTCAGCGGAAATTGTGCAATACATCTTACATTCTTTATTTGAATCCACACTTCCCTTACAGTCACCTAAATCATAATTTGTTTTTGCTACACATTTATTTGGTTTCTCAGTCTTGCTTCACCCCACTCATTGTGAAGATGAAACATTTCATGGTTTAATCTTCGACTAGTAGTAGGACATCTCAAAAACATGAACAGAAATAATGGCAACAAGCCTAAGACCTCTTACAGCCCAACAATTTGTTTCCATTACATTTAATGTCCCACAAGAAGTAGAAATGGTAGTCAGTACCCAGTCTACCAAAATGGCATTTCCCCCTTTTTAGAACGAGGCGAGAGACAAGAGGGCGTTAGTGGGGCTTTTTAAGACTCACATTTATCATTCGACAGCGTGGAGAAGTTTGTGTTTTGTTTTGGCCATGATGATGCTGTTGCGACTGTTTCATACATGGAATTTTCTATTAGCATTAAATATGGCCTTTCGCATGGCAATAACTTCAGATGGCGGTGGGTATCTGACTGACAATTAAAATTGTCATAACATTAAGGCATTTTGTTGATGTTGTTGTGTCTTAATCGGAATGTTAATGCATTACCGGAACAGGCACTCAGTCACTCACGTGTGTGTGCGTATGTGTGTGTGTGTGTCTAAACACATCGTCATAGCTTTGTTACATTAATGGCCATAAAAATTGTTTTGTTTTGAAGACTCCCCACCGCAGACTTCAATGGGATAAAGTCTTTGTCTTTTCGGGGTTTTGTTTACCCCGAAAAATCATTGAAAAAACATTGAACATTCGCTGTGGCATTCATTAATATCAGATCATTCTTTATGGCCATAAAAATTGTTTGTTAATGAACTTTTATGATGGCCTTTAATTTTTGCTTAGGCGATGACATCAACAATGATATAGAGGATCGATAAATGTGCATAAATGTGGGAAATGAAATGAATTCGGAAATGTTTGTAAAGATTTCAAAAATATATATGTTCTAAGGAAGCGATAATGCATTTCTAAGAAATATATCCAACATCGGGAGGCAGATTTATATTGAGGCTATATGAAAATCAGGGACCATTTAGATGAATTCCTACCAGAGAAGAAAATACTCATTATGAACTTAAAATACCAGATTAAAAAAAATTCTATAAAAGAATGTATCTAAAACTAACCGCATACAGAATAACAGGGGCACATGAATCTACATAGATAATAATCTTCCAAAGATGGCAGAGCATTTGCCAACTTTTAGAAAATGTTCGTTAAATTATGTGTCTAAAATCATCCAAGTTCCGAATTTCAATCGGCAATTATCGTTCATACACACATACAATTTGAGAAAATTCCGTTGAAAATATTTCTAAAATCGTTCAAATGTCTTCTAAGTCTTATATGAGGTCCCAACTATAATTTGGACCCATATAATTTTTTTGTAAGCCTGTTTCCTATTCGCTTAAAACAAAAGCTTCCGATTTACAGAAAGTCATACATTTTAGACCCCACAAAGTATAAATTCTCGATCAGCATCAAATTCTAAGTCGATTTAGCCGTCCGTCTGTCCGTCTGTGGAAATCACTCTGGCTTCCAAACGAATTGAAGTGCTTGATAAAATTTTACTCAAATTTATGTTATATCTGCAGGACTTTTGATATTGAAAAAGGGCCATGTAGGTCTACGTTTTGTTATAGCCCCCATATAGCGGTACCTCCCGATATTCGGTATTTTAATGATTTTAGCGACATTATTCACCGGAATTGTTTCAAATTTTGTATTTGCAATTCGAAATGGATACTAAAGCCTACGAGAGAAAATTATCTGTGCAGGTCCACGTCTTCGTACAGCCCCCCATATAAGGGTACCTCCCGATATTCGATATGTTGATGATTTTAGCTACATTATTCACCGTTTTTTTTCAAGTTTCGTATTTGAATATTGTATTGGCTTATGACAAAATTGGCCTATGCAGGTCAACGTCGTCGTATACATACGGCTACATTAGGTATTTTTAAAATTTTTACAGAATTCTTAACGGATTTTATTTTTTTCAAAATAGCCATATTCGTTCCAAGTGGTGGAGGGTATTCAAAATTCGATCCGGTCGAATTTACAGCTTTTTTACTTGTTTTTGTTTTTTTATTTGAACCAAACCGTTAGTTACATGGCTTTTTTTTTACTAGTTCCGTAATTTAATAAAATGTCATGTCTAAAAGTATGCTCTGAAATTTCTAATAACAACCATGAGACAGGGTGACACACATATGACTGTGTACTGAGATTCTTATCACATTCCACCCCTTTGTGACTTTAATGGAGTAGGATGGATATATTCTCAACGACCATGAGAGCAGCAATCAGAGATTTTTTAAGGAGAGGTGTAACCATTGGCTATTTATTTATTTGTTTTGAAGGAACAAACGACCGTATTCGGAGCGAAATATGTTATTTAATTTTTTTTTTTAAATAATATTGTTTTCAAAGACCATGAAGCTGTGTTTGTGGATTTCTTTAAGAATATATTTTCCAAGGATCACGACAGCTAAAATTGTGAATTTTAAAGAAAATCTTCTCTAGAACCATGACATCTGTTATGCTAAATTTCAATGAATATATTTTTCAGGTCCATAGAGCTTTTTTGAAGAACCTCAAAGCTGTACTCAGAATTTTTAGATAATAATTTTCCAATTGCAACGAGAGATCTAGTCGACATGAGAGATAAGAGATATAATCGTGTACGATTTGAAGAGATTTTTTTGAAGGACCAAAACGTTTTAAAGAGTATTTTTATGGAATGTGATATATGTAGCGTATAATTTTTTAATAATTATCATTTTCAAAGATTTCATAGCTGGTCTTTTTTGAAATATATTTTGTAGGACCATCGAGGATTGAAAGAAAATGCATTTTAGCAGTTTCTTAAGGACCACAAAACTATATTTTTTTCCGATATATTCAAGGCATATTTTTTCCAAGAACATTACGCTGTGTTTATCAATTTCAAAGAATATTCTATCAGGGCCATGGGAGATCCAATCGTGCATAATTTTTCAAGAATCATGAGAACCAATAAATCTGGGATGTTTAAGGATTGTTTTCTTATGCTGACATTTTTTACGGAACTTTCAAAATATCTGAGAAATAAACCACATTTTGAGTAATTTTTTGTAATTATTTTTATTTCTTTATTTTTTCCACCTTTTTCAGTCTTTGTATAAGAAATAACATTTTATTTTTTTTTAATTTTATTTTGTTTGTGTTGTTCTTCTGTTTGTTGTTGTTATTTATCTTTAATTTAATTATAATTTATAATAATCTGTATTTATTCTAATTAAATACAATTTTTGTGTGTTGCTTTTTTTATAGAAATTTTACAGTATTAGTTTGCTTATCTTTTTCTATGGGTTTTTAAATTTTTAATTTAAAGTTAGTTTATTTCAATATTGCAGAATTTGTTGGTTGTTGTTTGTTTTGTTTTTCTTCGTAAAGTATGTTTAATGAAAATTGTATTTAATATAATTTTGTTTTAGTTGTAATTTTCTTTATGAGTTATAATAATGATTTTTGTTTTATTAAATAATTTAAATAAATTTGCATTTTCGCCGGTAAAAAAGGCCATATCAAAATAAAGTAATTCAAAAAGAATCTTTTTTTTTTAAATTATATGAAATAGTTAATAATAAATTCTTTAAATTTGGTTAATTTGTTGAGAAATCTATCAATGATTTTAAAGAATGATGAGAAACCTAAACATGTAATGGTTGGGTGGGTAGCTTCCCATAATAGTTTTTGTACAAAATATTTGTGTGTTTCAAAAGTTAATTTAAAAAAATAGTTTTACAAATAAGAAAAAAATAAAGGTGTAATTTTGTTTTTAATTTACAGTTTTTATTTATATATAAAAAATAAACATATTTAAAATTAAATTTAAGAATATATTTACACATAATTAACACAGTGCTACAAAGATTGAATTTCTTTTTTAAATTTTTGGATTTTAAATTTTCCAGATTTCAAAAAAAGTTTCTAAATCACTTGCAGCCCTGTGTTATGGATACATATAGAATTTGTTTTGTTTTTTGTTAATAATATTTACACAATCTATGTTTTTTATATATTTATTAATTCTTTTTTTCTCAATATTGTCACTTTTTTATTTTATGGTAAGTTAAGAGTAACCTGAAATTAAAAATAAAACACATAAAATATATTAATAAAAAAAAAAATTTCAAAATAATTTAAGACAGCAAAACAGAAAACGAAAATAGAGGTATATTTTATTTTACTTTACAAAGCAAAAACCAGGAACTTCTTTAGTTTCATTTTTAATCAGAAATTTCAAAATACATACAAGTGGAAACTAATTACGCAAAATTTGGAAAATAAATTGAAAATCAAAAGGAAATATGACACCCATGCACATTAAGGATCTGTTTCAGGACAACGAAAAACTACATGCAACACTAAATGAAATGTAGTATCGAAAGGGGTGAAATATCTTTTTCTAAAAAAAAACAACTTAAATGACTTCCATTGCCAAATTTTTAAATCGCTATTTTGAATCAGACCCTTAATTAAATTTTGATTTGCTTTTCCTTGTTTCCATGCTTTTTTAATTTTAATTTTTTTCAGTTGTTATAGTTACTATGTACAAATTGTTGGTTTTGGTATATGACCTTCTGTCTACAGATGGTTGTGTTTCATTTTCTTTTCTATTTTCTCTTTTTTTTTGTTTTTGGTTGACCAACAAAAAACCATTCGAAAAATGAAAATGTTAACACTTTAATACAGAGTTCTTTCTTTCTGCCCAACAAGTCTATACCGAAAAACCGAAAATATCTGGGGTTTTAGTTGGCTTATTTCGTATTCATTTGTAGCATGTTTTACCTTAGTTTCAATTTAAATTTATAATTTATGGTGTTACGAATTCTAAGTATTTGATTGGTTTTCTATAAATAATCTGTAGTTTTTTTTTTCATTTTTTTCTGGTTTTGTTGTCATATGGAAAAAATTGAACAAAAATACGCTGCTTGTGTATGTGTGTGAGTGTGTATTTTTAATAAATATTTTTTAATTAAATTTTATATAATCCCTTGTTTCATTTTGCATGTTATGTTATCCATTTGTTGTTTTCACTTTTATATATAGTTTTTTTTTGGGTTTTTGTTTTGCTAATATTTTCTTGTATAGTACTTTGCGCTATGAATGCATAATGCATGCATTTTTTGTGGTATTCCAACATTTTGTTGTGGTTGTTGTTTCTTTTTTTGGCTACCAAAGAGGAAAATCAAAGGCAAAAGAGGAGAAATTAAAAAATAACACAATTGAAGATTTAAACTTGCGTATCTAGGTAAAGTAAATTGTCATTTGAAGACTCTAAATTCACTCTCCATGTGTGAAATCAATGGAAAGTTCCAAATCAAAGCCAAGAATTTTTAAGGCCGAAATTTTACAGTTTTGTCCAAAAATATGTCTAATTTCTATGCAAAAAAATTAATTTTTCATAAAAGATATGATGTACATTTCAACCATGCCCAGTGCGCAGAGAGAGGCAGAGGGAGAGAGAGAAAGAGAGAGTGTGAGATGTCAATACTTAAAGTTAAGGGTTTGATCTTGAATTTGGCTGTTAAGTACGTCAGGCCTATTTATCTAGAACTGAATTTGAATGGCGCCCAACAAAAATAGTCATTAGAATTCCCATTATCTTATCAAGAGTATACAGGGTGAGAGTTAATATACTCTTATAATCGAAAATTACAAATTTAACATCGAAATTTCCTCTTTGTTTCCCTTTGTTTTCCCCACCAAAATTTCCTCTTTTTTCATTTACCAAACCAAAAAAATCCTACCACTTGTCATGCTAAATTAGTTCCCTGTTTTGCCAAGTTTTTAATTTTGTTTTGTTTTAAATTATTGTTATTTTTTATTTTTACTTTTTTTGTTTTTAATGTTCAGCTAACTTTCTTTTACGTTTAGTTCTGCCGTTTTAATGGGCTTTGTTGTTTTGAACATTTCTTTTGATCCTCCTTCATTTGTTTGCTTGTTTTTCGGTTTTGGGCTTTCCCAATTTAAATTAGTTGAGTTTTTCCTCTTTGTTTTTCTTTTGTTTTCCTTTGTTTTCCATTACAAGTGTACGATGAGTTTAAACTAATTTAATATAACTACACATAGTATTATCATAATTATTATTTAAACAATTGCTTAATGCCACAGTATCACTAGATGATGCACAAGATCGCTCGTTATCGATTATCATCCTCTCTCTACCATTGTATCATACATAAACTATATGGGGTTTGCTGTTAAGAGTACCACCACCAACACCGCCCCCAACACTACTTGTACTACCTACACCCATGCTACTCATGCCGCTGCTGCTCATGGTGCCGGTGCCTCCACCGCCATAGCCATGTATACCAATGCCGCCACCAACACCAACCCCACCACCGCTGGAGGAGAGTGTAGTTGAGCCCATCATTAATTTACCATTTGAGGACTTGGACATGGAGTGGGCATCCGGATAGTCATAATGATCGAATTTCTCGTACAAATGTTCCGGCTCATCGGTATAGGTATTGGAGTCCTTGACTGGTGGCAATTCCCAGGGTTTCAGGGCCCGGTATTCATTGGCTATTGCCTGGGCGGTCAAGTAACGCTCCAACTCCAGTTTGTCAACCTGCGGCAAGGTCTGGTGATAGTCCTGATGATGCATGGGATGCATATTGTGGCTGAGCGTTGTCCTTTGGGGCTGCATTGTGTGATGTGGATAGCCGCCGTTCATTAGGGTTCCAGCAATGCCGCCATTCGAGGCTGCACTGAGCGGCTGATGAGGCAGGATGCGATCGTGAACATTGACAATGGATTTGCCTGAACGCAGAGATCGATCATGCATAAGCTTTCGGCGTCGTTTGACAAAGCGCATATAGAAAATGATGCTGGCCCCTGTCATCACCACCAGCAGGCAGGTCAGCACAGCGCAAACAATTGTCACCACATGGGCCGGGCAGGTGATTTCACTCTCCGTCATGGCGGCCAAATGCTTGCGTGTCCGCTTGTTGTCATGCCACACTTCACAGCCAATTCGCTCTGCATCCAATTTCAGATAACCACTGCTTGAGGCCACCGATGGGTTTGTATTCTGGAATTTGGCCGTAACATCTTTTTTTCGCTCAGCCACATAGGCTGCTACCCGTATTAAGTTATCATCATCCCCTTCGGCATTGGGTTCCGCACCTAAAGCTGCCACCGAACCGGCATCATGATGTCCCATCATATTGCCCGGTTTCATGTCTTGACCTTGAATGCCATTCTCAAAGTTTCCGGTTACCAAACGCCACAGCCAAAAGAGGGTACAGTTACATTGCAACGGATTATCGCCCAGATAAAGTTTTTCCAGTTGATCGATGGGGAATTGAGCGGCATAAAGGGTCTGTAGACTGTTCGCTTGCATGTAGACCTCAACTATGTTGGGATTGCCCTGGAACAGGCGCATGGGTAAATCGCTGAGCAGTGGATTGTTGTTCAAATGGAGAATTTGCAAATGCGTGTTGTCCACAAAGGCTCTGAAATGGGAGAGAGAGAAAAGGAGATGAGATTAAATAAGAGAGTTAAAGGAATACAATTATCAAAGGAATAAACTGTCAATAGGGGGTGCTTTAGTTGTGAGATATATAATTAGATCTCAAATCCGAAGCTACTTTGACAATGCAAACAAATTCCCATTTACACTAGGGAAAATTTTTTTAATTTTATACCTTCCAAAAATGAAGCCCTGAATATTTTAAACTAAGTTTGCACTTTGATCTGTTTAGATACTCAAAATCGTAGACTGTGTGCAATTCAAAAAATGTTTTCTTACGACAAATCTCGACTAAAAATCCAAAATCTGGACCTTTATCTGAACCAATTGGGATTTCAAAGTATTAAATATAATCCATTTTTGGTCGAAAAAGGACAGTTCAGGGCAGTATTGAGATATGGGACTTATATCGAACCATTTCATCTGAGAGACTCTCTAATATCCTAACGCCAAATTACATATAATACGGTTGAAAAATTAATCTAAAAATAGTAAAGGTAATTATATTCGGGAGAAGGGTTTACTTTTAGAACTATACAAAAAATGGGGCCCTATTTCAAATTCCTTAAAATTGAGACATCGAAATTAAGTGGGCTTCATTTTGTATGTGGTCGAAATCTGGTTCCAGAAGAATCACTTGCCTCTCATTCCGCATTTTATATTTGATACCCTCAGGCTTAATAACCCCATAAACATCCGAAATTTTCCTGGAACTAATTTCGGATCCATGAATATGGGTTGACTCCGACTCCAGTCTTGGTCAAAACCACTTAAAGTTTCTATATTTAAGAAGTACCAAATAAAAAAGGACCCATTGTATTAGGCTCTACATCATCACCTGAAATGTTTTTCTAACACGTAAAATGAAACGAAAACAAAAACATCCTAGAACTACCTGCTTCCCCGTTTCCTTCCTCTCTCCCTTCTCCCACTCCCTCCTCCCACCGAGTCATTTAATAGCCCATTGACTATAATCAGTATTCCTGGTAAATAACCTGAAAAGCTATCCATCCCTTGACTCCATGTAAATATTCCCAGGGATAATCTGATCGATGTATTGACTTTGTGCTTTAAAAGCGCCCTTCGAGTGTCTCCTTTTAACTTTTCCCACCGGTATTACCGACGATGTAGATATTTATTGCACGAATGGAAATCAAGCATGCCAAAGGGATCCCCGATACAACAACAAACAGGCGCTACAATTTCACAAATGAGGAATCCCTCAATGCAAATGGAATATATTCTTTGAAAAACGGCAGAGTAGCAGCTACCATTGACGAGGGAGTCGCTTTTGTAAAATTGTACTTTAACACTTCAGCGAGCAAAGCAAACCAAGGGAAAAGACCATGGAAGGGTGGGGGAAGGATAAATGTTCATTCGTTTGAGACATGAAACAAAATGAGGAACAGGTATAGGTTTACACATGATTTTGCAACATGTGGAAGAGGTGAAGGACAAACGAAAACACAGGGAACAGAGAAGGTCGTTGGCTGGCTACCCCTGAAGAGCAGGGCGCAAAGGATACTTGTAGTACTTACAACGTAAGGGTAACACCGACGGCTCAAAGGATATGGATAACATTAATTTAAATATGAGTTTCTTTCAGAGCAGAGGCTACGTGATATCAACTCCTTAACAACCGTCTGTCCCTCAGACTGGATATTGGATCTGTGCTGGGTGGTAATGGTTAATGAGTGTTGTTTTGCTAAATGGCTTAAAACTGATACTCAACAATTAAAAAAGGATAAACATAGTTTTCGGATGGAGTGGGGGAGGGTCAGGAATGTCTTGTATTTCCAAGTGGTTTCAGATAACATCTAACAGCCATATTCACCCCCCAATTTAAGGTCACAACCCTCCATTGTTTTGTCCCACAACCAATTTGACACCCTTTCCAAAATTGTTTTCAATTAAACATTTTACAAATTGCCAACAACAGCAACAGCAACGCTCACTTGTACAGCAAAATTGAAAAACATATTTGTTAAGTAATGATAAAAATTTTCCCATTTTCTTGGTAGTTTTTGGTGGAAACTGTGCTGTGTTCGGCCTTGAGGAAAATTTAATGACTATTCGGCAGGCAGGCAGGCAGGCAGAACGTGTTAGGCCTACGGAATGTGGAATGTTGAGTAATGTTAACAACATATTTTCCCATTTGTTGTTTATCATAATTTATGTGAGTGTGAGTGTGTGTGTGTGAGTGTGCTTGGCACTTTAGCTATGTGACATGCTTCCACAGAGCTCCTTGTATTAGATTTTCCAAATGCCTGTCTGTTTGTCTGTCTGTCCTCCGTTTGGCTTGCGGCTCATCTCATAATAAACTTATTGGATTTTTCTGTCGTTCGGTGCTGTTCATATTTTGGTCGTTTTAATATAGCTGTCAGTTTTAACAAAATGAGCTCTTTATTAGATTAATATGACTGTCGCTTGTCATAGAACGGAAAAACAAATACATTCCCCAAAAAATGAACGGCAATCTATTCTCCGGCCCCAAATGAGATCTGAAGAGAAATTAGTAAGTAAGGTTAATGGTATATTTTTAGATGTCATGTGGGGTCACACAGATACAAATGTGCGAGTATGTATGTGTTATTAATAAAGTTAAGGTTTAACGGTTGTATTTTTAATTTTGCCAAGGAAAGTGTGTTAATAAAATTCAAATATTTTGTAAATTTTTAGGTTCGAGAACTTAATTTATTGACGTAAAGTGACTCTTCAAAGGGAAATTAATTTTTATGGGAGGTGCAAGAAAAGCATGAATAATTGTGGGGGTTTTAATAATTTATATTTTATAATCACGAAAAATACTGAATTGTGTAAAGACGCCGTCAACATATAATTCAAATTTTCAAGGTATTTTGAAAAGATTAATAGTAATTTTTGGGGGGAGAATACCAATTTGCTATGTTTTCCGGAAACTATCACTTAAATGAAAACTGTTATATGGAGAATATACGAAGTCGTGGACTTGCTTACGGGTACTCATTGCGAACTTCAAATAACAAATTTGAAACAATTTCGGTGAAAAATGTCGCTAAAAGCAAAAAATACTAGATATCGGGATGTACCGTACATAGGCTGTAGCACCCATAGGCTGTAGCACCCATTACGAACTTCAAATATGAAATTTTAAATAATTCCGGTAAATAATGTCACTAAAATCATGAAAATACCCAATATCGAGAGGTTCCGCCATATATAGGGGCTATACGAAGACGTGGACCTGCATACGAAATTTTTTCAATAGGTTGTAGTAATCAATAAGATCTTCCAATACGAAATTTGAAACGATTCCAGTGAATAATGTTGCTGAAATCATCAAAATACATAAAATCGGGAGTTATATGTGGGCTATACGAACACATGGACCTGCACGGAGAATTTTCTGTCATAGGCTGTAGTATGCGTTACGAACCTCAAATACCAATTTTGAAACATTATCGATGAATAATATCGGTAAAATAATCAAAATACCAAAAATAGGGATGTACCATTATATGGGGGGCTATACCAAAACGTGGACCTACAGGACCCATTTTTAATACCAAAAGTACTGCAGATATAATATACGTTTGAGTAAAGTTTTATCTACCTACTTCATTTCGTTCGGAGGCTAGAGTGATTTCCACAGACGGATAGACAGACAGGAGGGCGGACAACACTAAATCGACATAGAATTTTATGCTGATTAAGAATATAAGTATTTTGTGGGGTCTAAAATGTTTATTTCGAGGTTTTACCCACGGAATGACAAACTTAATATACCCTCCATACTATGGTGGAGGGTATAAAAACACTGCTGATAATTGTGAAAAAGTCACTCTACATAAGACTCTAACATCATATGTAAACTAACTAAATTTTTGTAGGATTATTGAAAATTGTATCATATTTTTAAGTCATATTCAATATATTAAGAATTTTGAATTTGAAGGAATATGTCCGGTCTTTAAGCATTGATGCTTGATAAATAATCTTCTCCTTCTTCTAATTTTCCCATACATATCTACCACATGCATTACAGAATATGAAACAAGAATGACCACAATTCTGTTTTTCTTTTTAAGCGATCACATCACCACATTTGCATAATTTTGAATATATTGTTGATAACAATAATACAAACATTATACGGGTCAATAATAATTATGCCATACACTAAATAAAATATTAAGTATTCTTTGGTCTCAGGTCCTTTTTGCATTCAAAAGAAAAATAAAAACAAACACACGCACTCAGGAAAAAACAAAGCATGGATGGGTCATGTGTGTGTGTGTATGTATTTGTAACAAACTGTTTGTTATTTTATACGGAATAGGAAAAATAGAAACTGAATTCACAAACATTTTCGCAATTGAAAACATCGCTCATGCACACACACACACCAGCGCACACTTATTGAGCCTTAAAAGCTCTTTGGTAAATGAGCCTGGGAAAATATGCAGCAAGTGTTTATTTGTTTGTGTAATAATGACGATACCTTTGCCATCAGCCACATATATAGACGCCGACCACCAACACCAATAGCAGCACAGCAACAACAACAACGACGGTAGCTACAAATAGGCATAACATTTCCAATGAAAACAAACATTAACGTTTGATGCAGCGCGCCTTTACAAAGCCATAGACGCTAAAGTGAATCATTGCAAAATAACAACAAAAACACCACACACACAGGATACCCAGCGTACGAAGGGGGAGTGGGTTTCGGTAAGAGCAGAAACAGCAGAAACCGTATTAATGTTAATGATATCGTATCAACCGGATAATGCCATAAAATGTGTAACAACACATCGCTCAATATATATGTGTATATAATTGTATTTGTATGTATATATGTATGTATGTCTGTGCATGCGTGTGTGTTTCTGTTGTTGTGCCAGCAATTTAATGTTAGATAATAAGGATTTAATGCAAAACAAGCTAAACACACACACATACATACACAAGGATACATGTATGAAGTACAAGCTTGTCATTCCAAAGCTTAGCACCGCTCGACAAGGTAATATACCCGAGAGACGTGTACAGTGCCATTAATACATAAATAATGTGAAACATTTTCTGCCTGAAATTAGCATAATTTCATTTCATTACTGAGAATTTTAATGATTTTGTTTTTCGAAATTTTAAAAATATCTACAAATAATACACAGGAGCAGGTGAAACTGTGGGACAATTTGGGACGATTTTTTGGAGTTTTATAAAATTTTAAAATTTAACCAAATTAAATTCAGGCTAATTCTCTTTCATTCTCTTATAAGACCAAATCATCCCGAATTTTGAAAAAAATATCGGACTAGAATTCGTAAAATGTGCGGAGCGAAAAGAAGTAGACGTAGTAGATCTAGTTTCTGAACAAAAATTGTAAATTTAGCAAGTGTATTGACAGTTGTAATTAAAAAGGTCCCACTGTTTTAGAGTCTCCGTATTGGTAACTCCATTCCAATGCCATGAACGAACCCCGCTTCATGTTGTTGCATGAAAACGTAAATTACTGAAATAATTGTAGGTAGTGAGTGGATAATATTGAATGAATAAATTTTCATATGGATGAATGTGTATCAATCAAGCAAAGCGGAGAAAAACACAATTTAATCTGCACTAATGCACAAATTCTCCTAAGTCCAACATATTCCTAGCCATACATCAAATAATACTTAAAATAAATTTGACATGTAAAAAACTATTTCTCAATAACTTCAAAGCATTGGGCGAATAAGCTGTTGAATGTGTGCAAACGAACTTGCTGAGAGCTAGGATTAAGAAGACGAATTCGGACAAATTTTTACCGAAAATAACAGCAGTTTTTCGACTTTTAAATTCGTTCGATCTTTTCGTTCCGTTATGCCGATTCATTCACTTCATGTATCTTTTTAATTGCAAAACTAGTAAATGAAAGAAATGTGAAGTTCTCTCTGAAAGAACTACGTTGTCCAAAAAAAGTTGGAACATAAAGCTTCTAAAAACATCCAAAAATAGCTGGCTATGCTTCAGAATTTCAGCCAATCAAGAGTTGACAATCATTCTGCTATTTTTTTACTCAGCTAAATTTGTTGGGTAAATCGTTTTTAAAGGGTAACGTCACTCTCTGCCATTTTTATTCGTTTTCTTTTCAATTTTTCTACAGGTTCTACTGGAATGTTAGATGCATAATCCTTTTTAGGAGAAAATTAGGTAAATGGTAGTAGCTTCTTAAATTGGTAATGCGACTGGTAACGACTGGTCACTTGTTAAGGTTCGTAACCTCAGCGTCAACAAACCTACAAACTTTGAACCGATTTTTAACAGCTGCGACTTGCAAGCTCATCACCAGGGAACCGACGCCACCGAATCGATCCTCCCTCCATCAAAAGATGTTTAAATTTTGATCGCAAACGAGACGACTACTGACAGTAAACGAGTCGATCAATATCAACAACTCATTATCTCTTCTCTTACTTTTAGAGTAGACTCTTACTCTCTTTGACTCCCACACTTTCCTTTTTTCAAACAGCAGAAAACGCCAGCATTGCCAAATAACACAAAAAAATGGTGAGTACATTTAGTGCTCTTCGAGTACTTCCCAAGTAAAATCAGGAAAATCGGAGAAATGTTGTAGTTTTGTGGGTGTAACGATCATCAGGTCGACAATTTGCATGGAAACCATATCTTTGGGTCCTTTAATCAACGTTTGCAAAGACTTCGTCTACCTCAGCCCTTGAGAAAACCTTACTGTAAGATTTACAAATCCATAGCATATGCATGTAAATCAGACTGAAAAATTAGGGAAAATTTAAAAAACTCCAAGTATCAGTGGATATTTTTGTTTAAAAGCCGAAAGATTCCATCCTTGTATTTTTTCTCCCAGTGTATCATTATGTCGCAATGTAACACATCATTTCATATGCATTATTATTATACACATAATGTTTATTTTAATGGTTGGATAATTTGAGAAAATGCTGATTTTCGTAACGTAACGTCGAACGTAAAAAAATCGGAAAAACGAAAAAAGGAAAACATTTTCCAATTTACAGTGTCATTAGCATTCATTAATGGATGGAAATTCGTAATAGTTTTTTAAGTGGATATATTTTCCATACTTAAATGCGGTCGTTAATCGAAAAATTGCACATGGCATGGTGCGGTTATGGGGGGTTCGTAGGAGGGAGACGAGGGGGAGGAGGTGGTTATCATGAATAAATCTCACTCGACTTACCTCGAATCAATGCGTTGCAGAAAATCCAAACGATTCAAATGCAATTCACGTAAATGAAACAAATTTAGGAAAGCCACAGCCGGTAGATGGGTGAAACGATTTCCGCTCAAAGTGAGGTGTGTTAAATTGGAGAGTTTCGAAAGTTGTTGGGTGGGCACCATCTAAAAAACATAGAAAGAAGAAGCAGAAAAAATGTAATTAATGACATTTTAAGGAGTTTGCACATAAAAAAACGAGAAAATATTTTAATTAAAAATCGGTTAAAAAGCAGCTGAACCTTGACTGGGATTAATGTCTAAAATATCAAGGAAACAAAAAAATATAGCATTCCCTTTTAGTCAGCCCCGATGAGATATTGTTTGTTTTTATTCTAAAATCCAGTATTTTTCTCAAGTTCAGATTTATTACTGTCAACATCATAATTGCATGTCCTCCAAAACCAGCTAAACGACTTCTGTGTCAAGCTTTATTATGTTGTGTGCGATGTTTTTCTCCCTCTCTCTCTCTCCCCCCTTGTCTCATTTTATTTTCCAATTTCTCAAATTTCATTTTTCAAATATTATTCAACAGCACGTATTGTTTATGGCACTATCGCGATCCAGTGGCACGTTTTTTGGCTACAAATTTTTCATAGTCGTCTAAGGGTTTTTGTGCCACTCCTGCTACTGTTTCCGGGTCCTTAGACTAAGCTTATTTTCGTAGTAAATTTATATGTGCAAACGAACGAAAGAAACCCCGGGATAAAAGCTCTCTCAGGTGGCTGTTTAGAGTATAGTAAATCCAAACAGACAAAAAACCAGTCCACAAAAAGAAGTGTTAGACGGTGTTTTTTTTTTTTTTTTTTTGCTACCTTCCTTCAGCCACTTTCAGTAGTAACTGTTGTGTGGTGTTATAAGGGGTTTTTATGGCAAAATAGTTTTGGTTTGTTTGTTCGGGCCTGGCTTGGGACTGGCTGGCAACAAATTTGCTTTTTGAAAAGATTGATTTTATTACCAGACGCTTTTACCCACCATCGCCTTGAAATGAAGGTGGACTGTTTGCAAGTCCATGGTTAACAAGCATTGCTTAGAAGTTGGTTAAAGGAAACGCCTAACATACATTTCCGTTTCCGTTGCACTCACACCAACAAATATATGGCTTTTATTTGTTGTTGTTTTTGGTCATATCTCAAGTTGTAAAATATTATTAAGTACAATACAATATTTTACGGTCGGTCACTGGGACGGAGGACTTTCACAATGACTGGCGAATGGTTTGGTCAGGGATTTCGTATATTTTTTATTTTGTTACGTGTTCGTCGTCGTCATGGTGGTTGTGTGTTGTCCGCTTTCCTGTGAGCGTTTTTTTTTGGCCACCAACATTTTCCTGTGGTCGTAAAAAGGTCACGTTTTTCAGGGCGCTATGGAATGTCAGCCAACAAAATAATCAGCAACAAAGTTTCCCTTTTTAAACACGTCGTATTTTTTCGAAAGGTTTCCAGTTTTTTTTTCTCTTCTCCTTTTCAACGAAACATCATATTTCATTGTTGGCAAAGTCATTTACAGCTCTTTCTGGTTGACTAACTGCCACACAAAAAGGAAGGGGTTTATTAAGTTAAACTAAATTATATTTAATCACTTCATCAAAAGAGAAATAAAAATGTGTTCAAAAAGGATTTCGAACTCCATTCAGACACATTTTTTTTGGCAAATTTGATAGGTTGAAATGTTGTCTTTAGTGTATAAAGGGTAAATTTTGAAACAATTAACCTATCATAATGGAATGGAAGTGTTCGGAACATGTCAGTAAGTTAATGTGAATACATACAGAGAGGGCATACAGAGTTGAGCTATTGGAAATATCTGGGAAAAATTGATAAATAGTTGTTCATAGCTCTATTGTACTAAGTATTTGACAGAATCTCCTAGATAAGTATTAATTCGTGTTATAGACTTGCGTTGAAAAATAATATATTTATATCACATATTGGAGCTAGGATCAATCTTTGCTCAGTTAGCTTCAAAAATCACATTTTTTTACTCCACTAAGTGGTCCCGAAAGGCATTTCTCGACGTATCCAACACAACAAATGGGATTTTTCAAGTTAAGTGTTCTGATAATATTTAAGAACTGACCATTTCGGAGCGGTTTCGGGCCGCCCCCTGACAATTTTCATGCTCTATTGCTTTTTTATATCCTCAGCCCTATGGCTAGAGAGGGTATATATCATATACTACCAAAATGTGCCTTATCGAAATAACGGCTTTAGACCAAAGGGCTCTTTGGACCAAATTCGTTTCAGGACATTTGGAGTCGATCTGTCCGCCCGTCTCTTTGGCTATCTGTCTGTTTGGCTAGTGCTGGTTCTGGTGCAATAACTCCCCAAGGGAGTATCCGATTTGGTCTAAACATGGTACAAGGTAATATTATTATCAAATTTAGAACGAGATCAGGAATATTAAATATTAGACCACTCCTTCTGGTACCTCCCCCACAAACGGTCGAAATTTTCAAAAAAAGAGAAAAGATAATTCGATTTTTCTCCAACTTTACAAATACCTATATTTGCATCAGTGCTAGGTCAGGTTCGAAATGGACAATAACAGTCCACTCCATCAAGTACCTCCCCACAAAGGGTCAAAATATTGAATAATTATAACTCGTATAATAAGTGATGTAAGAGTTGGATTGTCTCCAAATAACACAGATCGCAGTATTTTTATTAACCTAAGGTCGGCACCTCCCCCAAAAAAGTTCAACATTTTAAACCATCATGAAGCTCATTTATCATTAATCGAAAATATTTGATTCCATTCAGAATGGGCACATCTCAATATTTCTATCAACACGATATCTGTTATAAAGATGGCGGAGATCGGGCCATTTCTTCTGGTACGTCCCCCACAGAGGGTACAATTTTTGAATAACCGTGAAGCTCATAAAACAGGAAATTAAAATCCGATTCCATTTAGACTTGGAACATCTCAATATTTCCATATACACAAGATCTGGTATAAAAATGGTGGCGATCGGACTATTTCTTCTAGTACATCCCTCACATTGGGTTCAAGATTTTGAAAAACAAAACGCTCAAATAAAGCGAAATAAGCATCCAACTCTCTTCAAATTTCACACATACAAACATTTAATCATCTAACACAAGATCTGTTGTGAAGATGATATATATCTGGGGAGCCTTTTGGTACATAATTTTCAATACTTTTATCTGTCATAACTTGCGAAATTAGTCAGCGATTCTTTACAATTGGCTATATTTAAATATTTTTCTCAGCCAGAAACCTGAGATGAATGTGGAAATTATCGGCATTTATAATTTCGCATAAAATTGGAAATAAATGTTCGATTTACTTGTAATTTTGCCATTCCAATATATTTAACTGTATTAGATGAAGTGTGAACATTTTTCGGTTGTCTATAGGTATCACTTATAGTCAACCGAACATTTTAACAGTTTCTAAACATTATCACATATTGAACATAAAGAGAAGGAATTAACCAATATAGTCCAAACCTAGCATATCGCAATATTTATATTATATTTATTTAGGTCTGATACGAAATAGACAATATTGCCCCACTCCTTCGGAACCTACTCCATAGAGGGTTTACAATTTGAATAAACATAACAGATGTCAAAATTATATTTTAATAATCGAACATTGGCTGAGGGTATGATCTGTCGGCCTGATCTATTTTTATTTTGTTATATTATACACAATTCCAGGGCAAGTTTCACAATTTAATAATATCCCTCATTTACATTTTAAAAATCTTAACATGCATTTCATTGCAAAATGTTCTATCTCTGATGGAGTACATAGTTGTTTGCAAAAGCTTTTTTCTTAATTACATCTTATTTTTTTTATAAATAGCCCAAAATGTGTAATAGTTTTCTATATTCTATTCCATTAGGTCTATTTGCATGTTGCCTTTTAATTATAAACCAAAAAAAGAAAATGTTTGCCTACTTTTAGGGGCCAATAGATTGCTCTAAAAATAAGAAATTTGCTTCTATTTTCAATAATAATAAAATGAAAAACTAATATTTATTTCAATTTCAGGCCAACATTTCAACAAAATTACCAGATAAAGATACAATATCTGAACTACGGTATACATTTAATTTCAGTTTCCATTGGGGCTATAGTCGAGGCAAATTGCAATGCAAACTTAATTGGAGCATTAATAACTCTATACATTCAATAAATGAATTATTGTATATTTCACAAAAAAAAAAAAAAAAGAAAAACATACAATAATAAAAATCAAAGGAAGGAAGGAAGAGTGAAGGGGATGGAGATGCAAAAGAGTTAAAAGCAAAACTAGAAATAAATTTCATTCACAAATATAGAAATCTTTTTAGTAAATATGTATTCACACACTCACTCACATATGTATATGTGTATGTACGACTCTATCGTTATAATAGTTTTATGCCAGAACAAAATGTTTATTTGTATATCACACTTGTATGCCTTTCATAGCCACAAACAAACACACGCACACACACACACACACACATATGCAGGCTAACAGACGAGGGAGCATTTCATATTTTCCTGAGGAATTTATTTCTTTTTTTTTTTCTTGTTTTGTGCAAAACTAGAACACAATTTTTAAAATAAATTTCTTCTCTTCCGAATGGTATATATTTTTCTGACCTCATTCCTCGTTTGATGTATTTAAAGACCACAAATAATAAGTGAAGTTCCTTTGAGAGAAAGCAAGAAATTTAATAAAGTCCTGTTTGTTTTTTTCAGTTCATGATGTTGCTGCTGCTGTTGTTGTGGTTGGTAGATGAAGTGTTGAAAGAAGTATTTAAATAAAAGGATATACTACAATACAACAAAGTGTTAAAATTGTTACTTAGAAAAAATTCAATATTCATTTTTGAGTGAGGGAGGGTACTTTTTGTGGAGCAAAATTGAGGGTGCGGTTTCATATTGTCGTGTTTTTTTGAAATATGTTGACCACAAAGGAAATATTTCTTAGAAGCTGTTGTATTTTTTATATTTTATTCATAATTGGGTGATGAACGAATTTTGGAATGCCCTATGCAAAAGAAGCATATTCTTGTTATCTGAATTGTTCATTTGAATGGCCAATCTGAAAATTTCTCAAAAGACTAGTATAATTCGATTATTCACGAGCATAGATCTTTCAGGCAAACCATTCCTCATCATCAAAACGGACAACTTTTGACCACAACACAACCATCTTCACACTATGACTTCCAGCATATGCCCACCAATTTAGCAACCAATCGACACTTGTTTTCACCGTGGCTTTCTCCCACCAATCGAACTAAAACAATCTGCATAAACTCTCGGGGCTTCCTTCTAATGAAATCCTTTCTAACAAGAAATTAGAGTGCAATTGATCATTTTCCTATTTAATGTTTGCGGGTCCTGGAGTCAATCCTGGCAGAGCTTTAGGAATCTCGTATATAACCTAAAAATTTGACAACTTCTAGACATTTTCTTCCACACTTATTTAATGAGAATTTTTAAGTTTTCATAAAGTTTTCCCTTGAAAGATTTTCCCCAATTATTCCGAGACACCGCATGTAGCGCCCACAAGGGTTTCAACAAAATAAATACTACAACTACTAAATTCTTGGATGACTCTGAATTCTGCACATGAATACTTTCTTAACTACATCCTATTGTGGATTGCCACTCACCGGTTCCGTTTAAATTCAGGTTTATGTGTGTGTGTCTGTCTCCAATGGCCTGTATGTTGTCTTTTTGTCATCGGTAGTGTGTGAGACACAAAAATTCTCCGACCACAAACATATTATGGCCCCATGGCTTAAATGGATGGCTTGGTTGTTATGAACATTGGTTATAAAACAGCAGGACAACCTGTACATTGTTATGTCCTATGTATGGATCCCCCCATCCCCTAACAATGGTAGAGAATTTATTGTCATTGTTACCAACCTATGTGTAGGAATCTAGGTATATGTCTGTGTGTGTGTGCATGGCTTTGTATTGGAATAATGGTTATATCCTAACATGTTTGGGTGTATGTTAGGTCTAGAAGTGGCATGTTGAACAGGAAACTACTTAAAATATCTTTAAAAATTCTTTGAAGCTAACAATACAGCGGTCATGTAGGAAACATGTTAGGTGAGGTATTAGGGTGGCCAGGCAAAAAATTATGCAAATGGCACTTTCAATAACTGGCCCATTCTTGGAAATGGAAGAAGCCATCAGGGTCGGCACACACTGTCTCCACGTGGTAAGAACCCTCTCATCTATCTTTATGCCAGAAACATCAAACGGCTTCTGAGATTTACAATTTTTATGCAGCTGACCCCATGGGTCATCGCGGTTTCTTGCGGAAAAAGACTGCTATTGACCATTTTTTTGATTTTTGTAAGCTTATATTTTTAAATTTTTAAAGAATTTAGAAACCATTTTAGGCTCCATTTCGTATGAATTTTATTTTATTAGGCCTCAAAATATTCAATATTGTATGCAAACCACCCTAAAGTGTTAATATTTAACTAAAGATAGTAAAGACCCTTAGCACATCCGTACACAAGTTAAATATGCTTCTAACTCTTGAAATGTGTGTTTGTATCTTTATGGCATACTTTTAGGCAAATACCTGCTTATTGTATTCCTTAAAAGAATATTTGAAGCTAACCATGCCAAAAGATACATACATATGTAAGTTTGTATGCATGTATGCATGTTTGTATATCCAAAAAGTTGTAAAGATATTTTTGGATTTTTATTTGTTGACTACTTTTTGGTGTGCATCTTTTTGGCTAGAGAGACTTTGCACTTCTCTTTGTTTTGTAGTATTTAAAATATTTTTATGAAAAATGTCTGGCAGATAAAAATTTTGCTAGACACTGAGAAAGAATAGCTAAAGGTCCGATTACACATCATGTCGAAATCATATGTAAAATGGCTTTCTTCAAATTTTATAGCATATTTTAAGGAGATACCAGAAATCATTAAATTTATCTATACTATAAAGCGTTTCTTTTTAGATTAAGAAATTCTGGGTGGCGCCTAAAAATATGCTTTAAAAATGTTAAAGATAATTGTTGAAAACGTCGCTTTACATATGACTTTAACATCATGTATAATCCCGCCTTACATTACTTAAATTATTTGGACAATTTTAAAAGCTTTAACTTACCGTTAAATTGTTGTTGGCTATATCCATATGCTTCAGCGTTATCAGACCTTCGAATGCACTCAAATCCAATTCACTGATTACATTGCCCCTCACCGTCAGCGTCACCAGCTCTCGCAGTCCCTCAAAGCTATCGTTGCGTATGTATTCCACCAAATTATCCGATAAATCTAAAGACTTTAACGATTGCAAATGTCTCAGATTATTGGCTGGCACATCCAGCAACTGGTTATTCTTAAATATCAATATATCCAAGGACATCAAATTACGAAAGGTATTATCCTCCAGACTCATAATATTATTGTTCGTCAGATCCAGTTCCACCAACGAGGTCAGGTTATTCATGGCCGTGTGATCAACAATGTCGATGCGATTGTAGCTCAAATCCAATACCAACAAATTACTCAGGCCCTTGAAGGCATCCTTTTGCAGGGAACTCACCGAATTATGACTCAGATTTAGGGTACGCATTTCCGTTTGGTATTCGAAATTTTTCGAACCCAGTGTTTCGATAATGTTGCGCGACAAATCCAATATCTCCAATTTCATATAGAACGGCAGCGTGAACTGGATGTTGCGTATTTTGTTCAGGGTCAAATTTATGTATTTGGTCTCCGGATTCAATTGGATTGGCACATCTTCGAGGGCGGCATTCACACAGAAGGCCTTGCTGTTGGCATCGCCACCCAGACACTGGCATTTGGAGGGACAGAACGCCTGAGTGTGTTGGTGATAGCTAAGCAGGATTAGAAGTAATGAGCTTAAGTGTAGCCAAGGTATACTAAACAGGGAGGATAAGGTATTTGTTGATCGGCACGACGACGACGAAGACGAAGACGATGATGTCAAACGCCATCTTACATGTGTAATTCGGTGTAAATGTTTCATTGTGGTTGGCGTTGATGCTGTTCGGTTGTCGTTTTCCTTTAATGGTGAAATGTCGTTTGTCGAACGATTTTGCGGTTACAGCAAAAGCAGCAGCAGCAGCAACAACGACGAGTGCGACAAAAGGTAGTGAAACCTTTTGAGAATAGTTAACAACTAATTAAATGCTTTTCGTTGGTAGTTGTTGCGAGGCAAATACAGATGGGAGAATTACACATTCTGTGTGTGCGTGTGTGTGTAAATCAACACATGAGCCTGAAATGGAAAGAGAACAAACGGAGAAATAAAGATTTAATTAAAGAATATAAAATTGTTAGACAACGGACGACTGATGGCAATGAATATAAAATGTGAACAAATGGAACACTTAAATGGAACGCCTTAATGTAGGCTGTAAAATGTGAAAGACTGGGTGACATAAAGAGGGCACTAGAAATGGGAGAAAAGAGAGTAATTCTAAGTCTCTCTGTAAACCACACGTTGGGCGCCACAAAGCTATAAACGTTACTTGAAAACAAATTTTCTTAGGTATTTCTTGGTTCATTTAAAAGAAAGTACTACATATCAATCATTTACATCATATTCGAATTTTGGTTTTAATTTTTATTCAATATATAATCGCTCTCCTTTCCAAAATCCTGCCCTCAATATTTTCTCCAAAACAATTTTTAAATCTAGCAAATTTGACAATTCCCCCGAAAAATCAAACAAACCATTATTGAAAACGGTGGTTTGTACGAAAAACTCCGCCATATCCCTGTCAAAGCTTGATGGCTTTCAAATTTTAATGTAAACATAATTTTTCAAAACCAGAATGAAAAACTTTTCCTAGCATTTTACATGCCACATCCTATGCTGGCGCCCCTCCAAATCATTCGTGCCACATTGCTAAGCTCAAAGCACTTGCTGTGAATAAAGTTATTGATTTTTACTCAGCAGAAATAATGAACTCCATTGCAGATAAAGTTAAGAGCTAATCAAAAATACATTTAATGTTTTGTGTTTTGCGCTGCCGCGGTGTCGACGCTAGTAGCAGCGAATAGGAATTGTTTGTTTTATGAGTTTCAGTTCGGTTGGGGCTTTTGCACAACAAAAAGAAAGAAAAAAATGCTACAAATTAAAACATGTTAGAAAGCAAGTTGAATGTCGAAGGCAAGGTAATAAAAAAGTCTCAAAAAAGTCATTAAAACAACAAAGAAGACATAATTTACCAGGGCATGCAGCCTAAAAGTAGGCATTAAAGAGAGTTTTATGGCACAATGCCTTGAAGTATGCTTTAAAGTGGATTTGTTTGCAAATTTCCGAAAATTGCTTCGTTTTAGTGATCCCGACAACTTGAAAGCTAACCACCTTAAAGTATGCACCAACTTTTGTGTGTTAATGTAAAATCCTAAAAGTATGCTTTAAGCTAAATTTGTTTGCAAATCTTCAAAGATTTTGTTTCTTTAGCGAAACTTCACAACTTTAAAGCCACCTGCCCTAAAGTATGCACCAACTTTAATTGTTAATGGAATCCGCAAAATAAAAAGTGATTATTTCTTTCTGTTCTACTAAGAGGTGATTACTTAAAATCCGATTTTCTTCCACATGTGTATATTGGCTATTGTGCCGTAATTCGAATTATTTTGAATTAAATGTTTTAATAAATATTAAATGACATCAATATTGCCAATTAATTTTTATTGTTCTTGGTAAATGCGATCAATAGCTTTATCAAGTATTTAATAAGTGTTTTAAAATTAATATAAATATATTGGTAGTGGGCGTTTTTAAAAGAACACCTCTGTCTAGACAAAAATAATTGGCCCAAATTATTTTGGCAATTTAGAGTTTTAATGTTTTTAAATTGTTGATTGAAAACTTTTCAAATAAGTTAATAATTTGTGCGATGATTTTTTCAGGTTGTGTGAAGAAAACCCTTGTAAAATATTTATTAAATTACTGATAAACGTAAGAATAGCAGAAAACTGTTACAAAGAATCGGTTTATAATTTTTGGGATATTTTTTTTTATAAATTGTCATTTGTTCGAAATTAACTTTTAAATTAAGGCATTTATATTTTATAATTATCATCTATAGACCGAGTCGCTAATTTATGTTCTTTAGTTGTCTGTATTTTATCTAACATTAATTTTAGTAAATATCCTATACTTCAATCAATTTACTTTAAGTTTTTAGAATCTTCTGCTCAATTTGCCAAGGGACCATCTTTTATTTGTAGATACTTTCTTGTCCACTCTCAGCAAAGAAGCAAGAAACATATTTCTCTTTTCTAAAAAAAGATCCTTTAAAAACTCGCTCTACATCGTCTTCTTACTCCATTTTTCTCGCCGTTTTTTTTTGACACAAATTTTAATTATACGAGTATAAACCCAGTAAGTAGTTATTCATTAATTATTTACATTTGTTTGTTTTTACATTATCCACTCTGTTGTTGTTTTTTTTCCAACTCAACATAACGAAGTGACCTTTGGCAATTCCTAAAAGTATGCAACGACAAAGTGAGAGAGAAAAAGAGAAAAAACGCCAGTAACAATGACCTAACTTCCTGAACTCCACTACGCCATTACCCCACTGCCCATCATTTGTTACAGCCATTTTTCATTTGTTTGAACTCTTTGGCCAAAGAACACTTGAACGTATTTTAACCTTTGTTGTTGCTGTTGTAGTTCCCGTTGTTGTTGTATTTTTTTCATTCTCCCTTAGCCTTCGTCTAAAGACAAATATTATTTTATTTTAGCAAACATTTTTTGTTCATTAAACGAAGACTCTGTGCATTGGTTATGGGGTGTCTGTCTGTCTGCCGGTCTTTCTCTGTCTCGGCATCTCTCGCTCTTGGAACGTCTCTGTTTCTGTGTTTTTTTCTATTTAAACAATGTTTTTAGTTAAGTGGAAATTTTAGACGCAATGCAAAGTTTTGCCGAACAGAAAAATTGCATCAGAATAGAAAATTGCACTGTTTTTTTTCTCTCTCTGTTGGTTTTTCCCGATGTTCCTCTTTATGTGTGTCTAGTAGTAATTGTCTCGTGCCACTGTTTGCATATCGTATGTCGCCCTGAAAGAGGGGTACAACAGAACACACAGACAATCTGTACCGCACTCAAAAAAAAAGAGACTCAATTGCATTTATGCCATTATGGCGTCACAGAGTTGGTTGTCCCGCTCGTTTCTCGACTCCTCCTTGCCTTTCAGCCATGTCGATGCTGTGCTTCTGCCGCAATTGTGTCTGACAGGGGGTCTAATATATTTTTGGTGTTGTTGCCGTCGTTGTCTTGTTCTTGCATTAAAACTATTTTAGTACAATTTGCTGAGATTGAAAAAGGAAATAACTAAGACACTTGACTGACTAATTTGGCATTAAAGGAAAACATGTCTGTGGAGATTCTGCCTTTTTTTCTGCTACCCCTTGAAGAGTCACAGGGAAGAGAAATTGTGGCTATCATACATGCGTTTAATATGAAAATGTGTCTCATAAATTTTCATAACTTTTATTTATTTGTTAGATTGGGTCAATGGGCTTTGGGTTCAATGTGCTAATCTTGGTTCTGGAGATAAGAGGCTGCAGATCCGACAGGGAATAATATTGTTTTAGGAATAACTTATAAGAACATTTCTCAGAATAATTAATGAATGGAACTGTAGGTAAGGAACCTAACTACTAAGGATGAGATCTTTATCACATCAAATCTGAGGTAGTTTTCTTGTGGACGCCTTGCAGTAAAGGAGATAATAAGGCACGCGGAAGTTTAGGATATGAGTTATCCGATCTTTTGATCAAAAATTCTGTGGAGTCACCTTTTTGGGATTTCACCCAAAATATCGAGCTTGTCTGCTGTTGAATTTAAATAGAGTAACAGTGTCTCTTTCTCTCTCTCTCTCTCTCTCTCTCTCTCTCTCTATCAAATATTCCAATTTATGTCTGTCTCTCTCTCTATCAAATATTCCAATTTACGTCTGTCAGGGGGGCAACTGAATGGGCAATCTCCGAAATAGGCCGATAACATCGAAATGTAAGGGAAATTGTGTAAATTACTAGATACTGTGCAAAGATGAGGAAAAGTGGAAAGAAACGAATGCCCAAAGTCTTTGTTCCCCTGACTTCAGGCTCCTATCTCCCACTGCCTCTCCAAACGAGATTAGTTGTTACTCATCACAGGTTTCGAACTTTCTAATATTTGTTGATAACAGACAGGAAAAAATAATTCCCCTTACTTCTAATCCGGTGCCTTGAAATTCAACCAGGTTGAAGTTTTTGCTATTGGAACTTAGTTTTATTTAAAAAATCTATTTTCAATAAAAAATACAAATAAACAATTTTTAACACAAAATTTGACTTCCCATTTAAACAATATTTTCCAACAATCTTAAAAATGTCTGGAATTCCCATTAAATAATATTAAAGACATTTTCTTTCCATTAAGCATCTGCTTTTAATACAAAAAAAATGTTGGCCTATCTTTAATTTGATTTATTACATTTTTCCAGAAAAACAAAAAAATAAAATGCATATAAATTTTACTTCGAATAAAAGTAGAAATAAAAATAAGAAAAAAACTCCAGAAGCAACTCATTTTCGTTTTGATGATGTTTTATCTTCATATCTCAATGCTTATCCCCCAAAAAGTTCAAAAGCTGTGGCACTAAAGCAATATTTATACTGCAATGGTAGCTGTTCATTGGCATAAGAACAACAAAAGAAGAAGACGAAGAAAAACAGCAACAGCAACAACAATACACATCATTGGAAGTAGTTTCTGAAGAAATTCCAAAATTGCCACATAGTAGGTCCCACACACACACACACACGTATAACAGTTTGCATGTTTATGGAAATTTCAGCAGTTTTCCAATGAAGTGCCGCTGTCGGATGGCGATCTATGTGTCCCTCGAATATCAATAACCAAATGGGTGGGTGTTTCTGCTCTGGCCTGGCAATATGACAACGTGAAGGGTATGATAAAATGTTTTTTAAGATTGCACATCATAAACGAGAGGAGCAGCAAAAAAAGAAAAAAAAAAAAACAATTTTCACAAAATTTATTAACGAACTGTCGTCGTCGGCATCAAATGATGCCCCTCCCCTACCTCCAAAAAAATATGTTCTGTGTAACATATGACTTAATTAATGAATGTGTAAATATTTTAAATGCCAATTAATAAATTTTAACCAAATTGTTGTGTTTTAAATGTTGTTGTATCGTTCACCATGGGCGGAGGTGTTTCTTTTATAAGCGTTTTCAATTTACGATCCATA